GGACTACCCAGGCCTAGAGCCAGGTCAGAGCCTCGGAGGACGTGATCTTTTTTTTTTTTTTGAGAACAGGCGAAAATCAATGCGCGCGCGGATGTCATCCATAAAATTAAGTCGGTGTGGCCTAACTACCATGGACTACCCAGGCATAGAGCTATGCCAGTGCCTCGGAGGACGTGATCATTTTTTTTTTAATTAATGCGCGCGTGGATGTCATCCATACAATTAAATCAGTGTGGCCTTACTCAAGCAACTGGATATGATTTTGGAAAGGGTCAGACGTTTCAGTTAGTATCCACTAGCTTTCGTCAGTGACTGAGAGACCAGAGGGGAAAGCAGGTTTATAAGCACAAACTATTGATTGATATGCAAATAAGTGAAGACAATTTTTGGAAGTCCAAAAAGAAACAAAAGTTAGACGTTACAAAAGTTAGAAGTTACAAGGAATCTTGAGCTATCTTTAAACGAAAGACCGTGGTAACAGGTGTACCAAAACCACTGTATTGTGCTTGAAAATTCATGCGAAGTGCTCAACAAAAGTTTACTTTGAAACGTAGACACAAGATACAAAGAAATGCTTTATATATTTTGTCTTTGATAGGATGGGTCCGAAATAAACCCGGAAAAACTGAAGAAACTAGAAGAAGACTACCTTCAGCGACTGGAGGACCGGCCGTCCCTGCCTCATGTCGCGCTGAGGACCCTGGGAAGGTTTCCTCTCATCCTGACCACCAACATGGACTGTCTGGTGGAGCGGCTGGTCTGGGCACCGCAGGGCATTGTGGGGGAAGCTCTCAGGCTAGACCAGGTCAACTAGCATTTCACATACTATCAAGTTCATCTGTGTTGGTAGTTACATGTTTAAAGTTCAAACTTTTGACCCAACACAATAAAGTTCTCTCACCTAGAACTTTCGACCAGTCCCTCTGGTCTTCTTCAGTAGACTGACCCAGTGAAGCTTGTCACGTGGCTACTATGGGGAAGACGGTGACTGGTTGAAAGCTCCAGGTGCATGAGAGAACTTTATTGTGTTGGATCAAAAGTTTCAACTTTAGCATTTTTGATATACTTTGTCAGAGCTTAAACATTTTTCCCGTAAGATTCTTTATAACGCTTTACACTGTTGCTAGTGACTGACATAATCCATGACTTGTATCTTGTATATGTTTTGGCATGTCAAATTCTCTGTATTCTTGCACAGTGAGGTTATCAAAGTCAGTTGTTTCTGTTTTTCACCTCTATCTACAGCTGAGCTTGTTGGCTTCAACATGGCCGAATTTTCACCATGACGTCATCGTCAAGTGTTTCGGGGATTCGAGTCTTCACGCAAGGGCAACGGTATGTAGGACACAGGCAGGCAGTTCGGCTGTCAGAATTTTTCTTTTGATTTCCTGGTTTTTTTTATGTTTATCGAAGGAAAACATATTGTTACCTTCGCCAAGAAGGTTATGTTTTCAGTAGCGTTTGTCTGTGTGTGGGTATGTGTGTTTGTGTGTAGTTTAGCAAGATAACTCGAGAAGCAGTGGATGGCTTGGAATGAAACTTGGTAGGTAGGTAGGTCTTCATGAGACCTAGAAATGATTAGATTTTGGGCCCCCTGGCGGCTTTCCTAGGTACTGCAGCAGAACTTCCGGTTTTGATATCTCGTGATCTGGACATGCTAGGGTCACGAATTTTGGATGGTATATAGCTCTTGGAATAGGGAAGAAGTGACATGAGTTTGGGTCCCCTAGCGGCTTGTTCTGGAACTGCAGGAGCATTTGTTGAAAATTTTTCGAAGGAGGATAATTCAAGAACCGGTTGACGGATTGTCGTGATTTTTGGTATGTAGGTAGTTGAAGTGATGCTTGACATGATCAGATGACAATTATGCAAATCAGGAGCTAATTTGCATAATTAATGAGGAAATTCTATAAATCTGCTTTGTTCGATAATAGAACTATGAACCACTTGTGACATCACTTGTGAGAACGAGAAAAACATCTGAGGATATAGATTATGTAAATGAGGACCTAATTTGCATAATAAATGGAAAATTTTTATAATTTCATAGTTGTAACTGCTGGGAATTTCATACTTGCCACATTTGGAAGTTAAGTGAAGGTGAACATCAACAAATATAATTTATTCAAATCATGGTCTCATTTGCATAATTTATGAGGAAGTGCTATAATAGCATTTTTGTTAAGATAAGGCTGTCATTGGGTGGAGAATATGATCAACTGATATAATCCATGCAAATGGGGCTCTTATTTACAAAATCAATGATTAAAATTGTATAATTTGTCAACCACAAGGGTTAACATCATTTGGC